TAAAAGATTAACAAGATAGTAATAATATTTCTCATCCTGAATCTCTTTCCACAGAGGCAATAACTTCTAGCAATTTACTGTTTATGCTTCCAGATTTCTAATTATGCATATACAAATAGTTATACTTTTTTTAAGATGGGATTATATAGCATGTTTTGTTTTATAGCTAATTTGATTAAGAATATAGTGTATGTTTCTGTGCCAATAAGTATGGATTGACCTTTTTTTTTTTTTTTTTTTTTAATTAGAGAGAGGATCTTGCTCTGTTGCGCAAGCTGGAGTGCTGGGCAGTGGCGTGATCATAGCTTATTGCAATCTCACTCTCCTGGGCCCCAGTGAGCATCCCATCTCAGCCTCCCAGCAGCTAGGACTGCAGACATGAGCCACTGCACCCAGCCTACCTTGTTGTTTTAAAGGCTGTGTAGCAATTCATTATTTGTGTATAACTTAATTTACTTAACAAGACCCCAGTGGATGGACTTTGAGGCTGTTTTCAATTTTTTTATTATTACAGAAATGGTGTAGTAGACATTCTTGTATATTTGTGCATTTATTTCTGTGGAAGAAATGCTTAGAAATAAAATTAACTGGGTCAAAGGGTTTGATAATTTAAAATGTTCATTTTGCCAAATTGTCCTCCAGTAGATTATGGTAAATGTTTTCATTAACAGTGCCCATACCCATTCTTCATATTTTAAATTTTTTCCAATTGGGAAAACATTTTGTTTTTATTTGATAATTAATGATGGAGAATCATATTTTCAAATTTTTGTTAGTCATTTATATTTTTCTTTTGGGAATTGCCTGGTCCTGTCTTTTGCTATTTTTTAAAAAAGTTCAGTGTACCTTTTTAGTGCCTTCTAAAATATAGATAGTAACCCTTTATTAGAGCCATTGAGTGCCTCCCATTAATATGTGCTGGTGCTGGGAACATATTAGTAAACAAAACAGATAAAGATCTTATGGTTTAATTGGACTGGTACTGAACAAATGGTCAGAGGCAAAACTATGTAATTAAAATTGTGTTCAGTGCTTGGCAAGAGGATCTAAACCTGAACTGGATATTAGGAGGCATTTGTACGAAGTCCTTGAAATGAGGAAGATCAGATGATTTAGAGGAAAAGATCCAGGTGGAAAGAAAGGACTGAGCAAAGGGCACATAGTGCAAGTTTTGGGAGCTGGAGGGGCTCCAGAATTTCCAGAGCCTGGAAGGCTGTGCTAGGGTTTTCTTCATCCTTGGGGCTGTTGGAAAGTTTGGAAGATTTATAGGCTGGAGAGTGGCAAGATGAAATTTGGATTTTATGAAAATGATTAGTACAGAGAGGCAGCGAGCACTGCAGGGAGAAGGAATGGGCAGTAGGGAAGGCAACAAGTATGTCAGAAAACAGAAGTGGCAGTTCTGCAGTGAGGAAGATGGTGATTCAGGTCATGGGTGGCCACTTCATTGTGGAGGAAACCGAGACTGTCAGGGAAATGTTTCCCTTGAGAAGCCATGTTAATATTAAGGCTGGTTCTTCTTAGCTGTCATTTAGGCCCGTGACCTGTGTTGATTTTGCTTAGTTAAATTACGCAGATGATTCGGTTTTGTCCTAGAGGGACAGCGGTGATGCTGTTTTTATGGTGTGCCCTCCTTCTTTTGAGAAAAAAAGTTTTATGGCATGTAATTCCGACCTATCACTTCTCAGAGTAATTGCAGAGCACTAATTAGGCACTTCCTCTCTACAGCCTGCCAACACTTCATACATTTATTAACTTAAGGTAGAGACATGTATTTTATCTATAAGATATTGAGGTCTAAATACATTGTGATGCTCTAGCAAGATTTGCTGGTTATCTGGGTTATGTCCTATTTCTTTGGATTTTTTCTAGTTAGAATTTTTCAGTATAAGCTATCATAAATTATGAAACGAATCACTTGCCTGATAACTTTCTGATAAATGATTATAACAAAATTTTCAGGCTAAAGAATAAGAGTTTGATAGAGTTCTTTATAATTAGGTTGTTACTGGCTTATATATTTTTTACTTATTTACATACAAAACAATATTGATATAGGCATTAAGGTTTTTGTTTAAATCTGAAGTATGTGGTTGTGTGGCTGAATATATAGGTATTCTTATTCAGGTTCTCTGTTAGCTGTTTTTTTTTCTTTTTCAGTCTCATGAATTTAAATGCCATTTGAGTTAAATAGAAGTTTGAAATCGATAGAAGTGATTGGTAATCCTTGAGTCGTGTTTCACCAGACAAGTAGATTGAATCTGGTCATTTTTTTCCTCAGAAGTTAAGAATTGTGATGAAAGAAAGGTTAGAGAATCAATACATGTAAAGTAGCCAACTGGATTAAAAGAGTAATTATTGATTAACATTTAGCAGTAGATAGTGTTTCTCTGAATCCTCTCCTAAGATTAAAGAGAAAATGAGAGGGAAGTGCAGCATGTTTTTAAATAATCTAGTCACATGAGACATTTTCACCAGGATTCTGTTCTGTCTGTATTTTGAGAAAATGAAGAGGCAGGCAAACTGTGTACTTACCAAATTATTATTAGAGACGAGGTCTCCCTGTGTTGCCCAGGCAAGCATAGTGGCTATTCATGGGCACAATCATAGCTCACTGTAATCTCAAACTCCTGGGCTCAAGCGATCCTTCTGCCTCAGCCTCCCAGGTAGCTGCGATTACAGGTACGTACCACCATGCCTGGCTCTACTTACTGAATTTTATAAAAATCCTGAAACAAGAAGTAAGAAGAATTTTGACGATTGGCCTTTTTGCTTTCCTGCATTACTTGTGAACTTTTTGCCATGACTTAGGGAAGGCCACCTTTATGTCCAGAAAGAAATCCCACATTATTGGATATTCTTTTGGTACTACTTGGTTTCTCTACTGGCACATCTCTGTGCCCTTTTGGGTGACGTCTTCTTAGGTAATTTGCTGAGTAGAACTTCAGGGTCTTTGGGCTTCTTTCATGTCTTTGGGCTGATCATGAAGTATAGTATTGCTATTTGTAGTAATGTACTTGTCTAGTGTAAATTAATTTTTAATAATTAACCTGTGCTAGTTAATTTGAAAATAGGTATTGGATTTATCATTAAAGTATTTCATTTTTCCAGTTAACTCCTGGGATGGTTTTATGGTGAGCGGTAAGTAAAGCAGATAGTATTTGCTAGGTACTAAGCTTTGTGGCATCTGCACATTTTGTAAACTTAAAGGATGGAAACAATCAGTTTGAACTTCGGTTGTATGTTTGAATAATACTGATTCTTTTTTTTCCTTTGTCATGAAATGTATAGTTTAAAAATGTATATTTTTACTTTTTGAATAGGTGATGTATTCACATGGTTCTGATTTCAAAATTAGCAAAAATTAGCAATTCAGTTAAAAAATTGTATAGGAAAGTTTCCTCTTTATAGTGCATTTGTCTGCCTACTGTAAACTGATTTTAACTCACATCTTTAAATGATGCCTTTCGATCTGGGTGATCTTTTCATATCAGAACAAATGTTATGTTTTTGTCTTTTTCACTAATAAGTAGTGCTGTGTATTGACTTTTTTGAGACCTACATTTTGAAACAACTAATGATCCTTGTGAATCCAGATCTGTATTTTAATAATCACACATGTGAGGATTCATACGTATTAGCCTTTCTTTGATGCTCTTTGTGTTCATATTTTTTCAATTTGTTTTCTTTGACTAAGGTGTAATGAGTTTAAACATATTCTACATACGTGTCACTATAATCTTGAGGTACAGAGTTAGTTCTTAATCAGTTTTTTTCCCCCTAAAATCCATTTAGCAGGAATTAATCAGTTTTTAAAGTACAGCTTCCCCAAAGCAACATGGTATCTCTTGGGAGATTACTAGTTTGGGCCAGATTTTAATTTCCTTCAGACATTTAGCTCTTTAAAAAAATCAATTTATTCACTTGATTAAAAATTATCAAGGAATTTTCAAATACATTTAAAGCCGAAGATAATACTATATGAGTTCTTAGATGTGTGATTATTAAAATACAGATCCAGATTCACAGAGATCATAAGCTGTTTCAAAATTCCAGTCTGAAAGGAGTCAATTCGGATTCACTGCTTATTGGTTAAGACAACAGTATAACATTTGGTCTGATGTGAAAAGATAAAGATAAATTGTTTAAAAAAAAAAGTACAGAATAGTGCATATTGTACATCATCTTTTCTTTTTAAAGAAAATGAAACTATATGTTCATACATGCTTGTGTATGTTTAAAGTAACTTTGGAAGGATACAGGAAGAAACCAATAAAAGTGGTTTACCTGAGTTATTAGGAACAAGGTTGGAAGGAGACTTTGAGCTGTTGACCTTTTTTTGAAGTTTATTTGTTGCTCTTGTTGGCTATTTATTTGTTTTTAAGACACAGGGTCTTGCTGTCACCTATGCTGGAGTGCGGTGGCAGGATCATAGCTCACTGAACCCTTGAACTCCTAGCTGAAGTGATCCTTGTTCTTCAGCCTCCCAAGTAGCTGGAACTACAGGCATGTGCCACCATCCCCAGCTTAATTTTTTATTTTTTGTAGTGATGATGTCTCACTGTGTTGCAGAGGCTGGTCTCGAACTCCTGGCCTCAAGTAATCCTCCCAGTTCTGTCTCCCATACTGCTGGGAGGCATGAGCCATTACATCTGGCTTTTTTTTTTTTTTTTTTTTTTTTTAGCTTTTTGAACCATGTGAGCACTGTATCAACAATGAATTTAAATTTTGTTTAAAAATTTTTTTATTAAAATTTGATTTAAAAAGAAAATTTAATATAAAGTTTACAACTTAAAAATATATCACAATAATGGCTATTTTCTCAGGAAAGCTTCTAGATTTAGGCTGAAGGTCCTTTGTGCTGCAGAAGTTGTGGACTGAAAGGAATGAGAAATGTGCTTTAAAGACTGTCTTTTTCCTGTCTTTGCCCCCAAGTGGCAGAGGGCTTATTTTGTTGTAACCTTTTTTTTTTTTCCTTTTTCTTCCCTCTTTTGTTTTCAAAGGCTGGTGGGGTAGCAGGTGTTTCTGTTGACTTGATATTATTTCCTCTGGATACCATTAAAACCAGGCTGCAGAGTCCCCAAGGATTTAATAAGGCTGGTGGTTTTCGTGGAATATATGCTGGTGTTCCTTCTGCTGCTGTTGGATCCTTTCCTAATGGTAAAAAATTATATTCTCACTTCTGTAAAGCCATGATAAGATTGGATTTTCAGAATGGTGTGTGGTCTTACCCACATAGAATTCCTTGTGTGTTGAAGCTTATCTTCTGAATTTACTTCTTTAACCTGTTGTTGTTATTTTTTATTTATTTTAGTCAGGGTCTCACTTTGTCGCCCAGGTGGGAGTGCAGTGGTGAGATGATAGCTCACTGCAACCTTGACCTCGAGGCTCAAGCCGTCCTCCTACCTCAGCCCCCTAAGTAGCTGGAACTACAGGCGTGCACCACCATGCCTGGCTAATTTTTCTGTTTTTTTGTAGAGAATGGGTTTTGTCATGTTGTCTAGGCTGGTCTTGAACTCCTAGGCTCAAGCAATCTGTCCACCTTGGGCTGCCAAAGGCTGGGATTATGGTAGTCATGAGCCACTGTGCCGGGCCTAACCCATTATTTTTGACTCAGATAGTGTTATAGATTCTATTTTGATATATTTGTAATAGGAAAAAAAAAAGCAATCTTTAAAAAATGGTTTTTGTTGTTAAAATTTCCAGCTAGAATCCTTAAAGTGTTGTTTTAATGTTGTGATTCCTCAGAACAATCATTCTTAACTTTGCCTGCACATTAGAATCTACTGGGAAGCCTTAAAAAGTACTGATGTCCTGTGTCACCCTAGAAGTTTAATTGGTCTAGGCTTTGCCTGGGTATCAGGAGTTTTAATAACTTCCAAGGTGACTCCGGTGTGAAGTCAGGTTTGATGATAGCTGCTTTGGAGCATCTTAGAGAGCAGGTGAACCTAGGAGGCATTAAACATTTCTATCCTAATTAAATTGCTCTCAGATGATGCAAGTGTTTCTCACTAATAATCTCCTGGATACTCTCCTTCCAGTGTCTTTTGTTTTGGTTCTGAAGTCATGTTATGTGACTTATGACGCTCTTACCCTTTAGTCAGTGTAATCTGTTTTGTTTAATCTGCTTCTTGGTATACTGTTTGCAGATACTTATTTTAATTGTTTACTGTTGGATGCCTCTAGTGGCCTCCAAAAGTAAACTAAAGCAACAAAACAAAAAAATCACCACACATAAGACACACCCACAAAACCACAGCTCTAGAAGATTCTTAAATTCTAGGGTTTGCTTTCATTTTTCACAGGATGATTCATGAGAATTTTTTTCTCTTATGTTAACCTGACATTTAAATGTTCAATCTGTGAGCATAGCATTCATACAAAGATTTGTAGTGCAAAGAGAAAAATAGTATTTCTGTTTCTTTTTTTCTCCTGCCCTTCCCCATCCCCCAGCCATCATTAGAATGGCAAACTGTTTTGGTCATCCTTGCATTTCTGTGTATGTTAATACTTTGAGTAATTGTAACAAGTCGTTAACTGAGCATCCACTCCATGCCAAGCATAGTTTTAAGTATGTGAGAGGGTCATGGGTTCCCCAGTTTGTCCACTTTGCATTCACCTGATTACTGAAGAGCTTAAACAAATACAGTTGACCCTTGAACAATGTGGCGGTTAGGGGTGTCAACGCCCTGTGCAGTCAAAAATCGGAATATAACTTTTGACTTCCCCAAAACTTAACTACTGATAGCCTGCTGCTGCCTTAATGATAGCATAAACAGTTGAGTAGCACATACTTTGTATGTGTGTTAAGATATGTATTAACATATATTTATGTGTTTTTTTATTTTTATTTTTATTTTTTTATTTTTTTCAAGACAGAGTCTTGCTGTGTCACCGCCCAGGCTGGAGTGCAATGGCGTGATCTCAGGTCACTGCAACCTCCAATTCCTGGGTTCAGGTGATTCTCCTGCTTCAGCCTCCTGAGTAGCTGGGATTACAGGCACACGCCCCCACACCCGGCTAATTTTTTGTATTTTTAATAGAGACAGGGTTTCACCATGTTATCCTGACCTCATGTGATCCGCCTGCCTTGACCTCTCAAAGTGCTGGGATTACAGGCGTGAGTCGCTGCATCCGGCAAATGTTTTATATACTGTATTCTTACAACAATCAGGTAAGCTGGAGAAAAAATATTAAGAAAATTGTAAGGAAGAGAAAACGTATATTCAGTAAGTGGAAGTGGATCATCATAAAGGTCTTCAGGTTGAGTAGGCTGAGGAAGAGGAGAAAAAAGAGGAGCCGGTCTTGGTGTCTCAGGGGTGGCAGAGGCAGAAGAAGTAGAGGAGGTGGAAGGGGAGGCAAGAGAAGCAGGCTCACATGGTGTAATATTATGGAAATATATCATAGTTTCTGTCTCACATTTTTGCTGTTTCATTTCTCTGAAAATGATTCTATATGGTACCAATCCTTTCACCATTTGCTTTAGTTTCAGTGCCCATATTGTAGAAGCGTCCTCATCATAAAAGAAGTCAAAAGCAGTCTTTAATAATCAGAACCTTTCTGCTAGATTGTCTGATGTCATTTTCTTTTCTGGCACTCCGTCTTCTACATCTTCTCCCTTGTCATTTGACACTGGTTTGGAAGCACTCATCTTCACCAAGTTGTCTTCCGTTAATTCTTCTGATGTGGTGTCAGCTCTTGAATTTAAGATTTATATTTTGAAACCTTTCACCCCCAACTTTTTTTTTTTTTTCCCACATCCACAATCTCTTTTATGGTTTTCTTGATTGGCTCTGTCATGAATACTGTGAAGGATTTGCCTGCTTCTCTTCCTTACTAATAAATGTCCTTTGTGACATTTTTCTTTTCCCGGAATAGGGCACTTTCATCTACATTAGAAACCTATTCAGGCAGATGTCCTTTCTCCTCAATAATTTACTTAATGGCAGCTGGGAACTTGTTTACTGACTTATGGATGGCAGAAGCTGCTTCTCCTGTTATCTTGACATTTTAAAGCCAAATCTTTTTCTCAAATTATCAAACTATCCTTGGCTGGCATTAACTTCTTCAGCTTTAGATTTTTCACCTTCCTTTTGTTTGATCTTGTCATGAAATGACTTTGCTTTTTCTCAAATGATTTTAGACATAAGTATGCCTTTATTATAGCAATCCTTTACCCACATAAAAGCTGCATTTTCAAAACAAGAAAAAAGGTAGTTTGCAAGAAGTGCAAAGTTTTCATGCCTGCTGACATAGCTGCGGCAATGGGTTAATGAGTTTCGTTTCATTTTTTTTTTTTAAACAATGGATTAAGCTGGATTCATTCCTTTTGAAATGACTGGCAGCCACTGTTTCAGTCTGTGGTATGTAACAAGCAATTTGACTTTTTCTTGTAATGTCATGACTCCTTTCTGCTTCTTAGGAGCTTTCTTGTAATGTCATCACTTCCAGCATCACTAGTGGCACTTCATTTGGGTCCTATGGTGTTATTCAAAGTTTGTGGTATGGCACTAACCACAACAAAAAATACATAAGAACTGGGAGAGATCCTTTTGTACTGTGACAGGCAATTTATTGGGGCGATGAACTGCTCATGTGGAGATAATTAGTGTCACATGGCGTTTTAAGTGGATACTCGGCAACATCTGAACTCACGATAATAGCGAGAGGAGGTGGCAAAGAGGTTACTACGTAGTACAGTATGTGCTGCAGTTAATTTGGTGTGCAGTTACGATTTAACACTACACCTTGTTTTTCCCCCTGCGACAGGTCTTACTCCGTTGCCCAGACTGGAATGCAGTGGCATGATCTTGGCCCACTGCAACCTCAACCTCCCAGGCTCAGGTGATCTTCCCACCTCAGTCTCTCAAGTAGCTGGGATTACAGGTGTGGGCGACCACACCTGGCTAATTATTTGTTTTTTGTTTTGTAAAGATGGGTTTCTCTGTGTTGTCCAGGCTGGTCTTGAACTCCTGAGCTTAACCCTCAGCCTCCCAAAGTGCTGGGATTACTGATGTGGGCCACTGTGCCTGGCCCATCTTTACATTTGTTTACATTTCTCTCAACTATGAATGATGTGCTATATGGTTTGTGTTTATAAGTTTTGATGAATTTTAACTTTTTATGTTTTATGTTAGTAAATGATAAAATAGGCTAGTATCTACATATATTTTATGTATTCATGGCACGGCTAGCCTTTTCTTTTCTTTTCTTTTTGAGACAGGGTCTGTCTTGCTCTGTCGCCCAGGCTGGAGTACAGTGGTGCCATCTCGGCTCACTGCAAGCTCTGCCTCCTGAGTTCATGCCATTCTCCTGCCTCAGCCTCCTGAGTAGCTGGGACTTCAGGCGCCCGCTGCCACACCCGGCTTTTTTTTTTTTTTTTTTTTGTATATTTAGTAGAGATGGGGTTTCACCGTGTTAGCCAGGATGGTGTCGATCTCCTGATCTCATCCACCCGCCTCAGTCTCCCAAAGTGCTGGGATTGCAGGCATGAACCGTGGTGCCCAGCCAGCCACCTTTTCTTAATTTTTTGGTATTTCTAGGCTATGTGGTTCATCTATAAGTTTGTTCAAATTATCACGAATATCCAAAAATTTTTCCAATATATTTATTGAAAAAAAGCCATGTATAAGTGAACCTGTGCCTTTAAACCCATGTTCAAGGATCACTTGTACTGGTGTTTGTTACCCAACCCCAGAGATTGTGACTTAATTGGTCTGAGGTGTGACCTGGGCATTGGATGTTTTAAAAAAAATCCCTAGATGATTGCTACATTCAGACAAGTTTGAGAACCTCTGAACTAGGGAATTGCAAAGAAACGTGTCACTAAGTCCCCATCTTTTGGTCACCATTTTTTATGATGTCTCCTTCATTTACACTCACTCTTCTAAAGATCTTTTTCTCTTACATATTGCACATAAAGATTATTGTGGGGAGATGTACAATTAGCTGTAGTGTGTGGGTTACATAGTGCTGTCATTAAGATCACAGGTTTTGCATTCTTCTTTAGGAGTTTACTTATAGAATGTGGTTTTGATTTTTTTTTTTTTGGTCCCATCCACCAAACTTTAGTGAATGGGAGATGCTAGGGAAAAGTGAGAGTACCAGGGTTTCAAAAATAGCCTTGTTTTACTGCAAATTTTGAATGAATTGGACTTTTGTGTTTGGTGTCTTTTTTCTTTTGCTATTGGTTACGGTCTTAATCTGAGTACAGAACTTCACTGTGGTTGATCATTAGTGGCTATGGATGTTTTTGTAAACCTATGCTGCAGGAGTGAGGGGTTGGGGTGGGGCTAGAGGGGACGAAAGATGGAAAGAGGTGAAGAGAAGACCATGTTTAGGAGCCTTACTCCCTGTTTCGAAGGGAATGTAGAGAAAGCATAGTTGTTTTTTTTTTTATTTTGTTGTTGTTTGTTTGTTAAGAGCCAGAAGAAACTATAGGCATCAGATAACCCAGCCCCTCTTCTTTGTTTTAACTTGTTCAGCCCCCAACTTGGAACCTGACTGTACTGACATTTCCAGTTAGTAGAGGCCTTCTTGGATGCCACCTGGAGGTTGGAGGGAGGTTTGGAACTTATATTCTTAAAGAACCTTGTAGATCACAAAAGAAGCCATAAAGTCAGACGAAGTTGAGGTGGTTAACCATGAAATGGAGGAAGTTTTACCACTGTCTTTCTCCCTTTTCTTGGGGATTAGGAGGGTAGGAGGTAGAGTGGCAAACTTAACAGCTGAGTGCAATTAGAGGTATTATAGCTTCACATTTAGTGAGTGGGCTGAAGTGGGAAAAATCGTATGAAGAAACACAAATGGGAATAGACTTGTGTTAACCACGTAAAACTGCCTGAACTGGTCATTATTCATTCGTGGACAGAGTGCCTCTTCTTTTAGCCTAGTGTATATTTGTTAGCATGTAAAGATCCTTTACAAGCTTTTGTTGACTTTGGAGAACTGATTTTCACTTGTCAGGCTGTTTTCCTCAGTGTTTCAGACTTTGTGACATGTTCAAATGTCCTTCAGAAGATGAATTTGTCATTCCTTTATCTCTTGTGCCTTATCTTTTATCCAACTGATAAACATTTTTTGATTAACAGTACATAGAAAGTTTTAAAGCCCTCATGTGCAGCTGCGATTAGTTTATGGTGATAGGGGTAGCTTTTTAGAGATTTTGATTTCCAGTTTTAATTAAATGGTTGATTGTTTTCTTGATGTGAAGGTGAATTCATGCAGTAAAACAGCCATGATTATTTTGAGTAACCAGCAATAAAACATTATAGAATAGACATTTTCTTTCAAGTTAAAGTATGTTTGCAATTTTAACCTATTTATTCATAATGTAGTTGATTGTTTTATGGCCATACATAATGATATTTTGGATCACAGAAATTCATATCCTTTTCTAAAGTTGACTTTAAAAATGTTTAAGTAATTTGTCAGCACAACACGGTAAGTGCTAGATTAGCTCTTATGCTCCCTCAGGGTAAGCATTATATTTTCTGCATTTCTGTAAGTCTAAGATGAGGCATATAACATGGCCTCAGTAAATTCTGAAAGAGTGAGGGTAGGAAAAAAAATACGTGCTTATCACCTTTTCTGTTATCTCATAATTTAATAGTTATTGTCATACCTTTTGAGAAACATGTTTCTTAACAGTTTGAATATATGTTTAAACTTTGTGAAAGACTGGCTTGTTTTAAATTTCAGCTGCTGCATTTTTTATCACCTATGAATATGTGAAGTGGTTTTTGCATACTGATTCATCTTCATATTTGACACCTATGAAACATATGTTGGCCGCCTCTGCTGGAGAAGTGGTAAGTAACAAGTTTTGTGTATAAAATACTTCAGAAATGCACATGATGCATATATTTTCAGTACATATTTATTTCATTTTTAAAAAAATTATTTTTAAATTATGAAAGTTATAAATGCCAATAAATGTAAATGGATTAAATATGACAGAAGATAGAGCCTGACAACTAAAAGATAGAGCCTGATGTAGGACAGAAGAAGAATTCTAGTTATGTGTAATTTACAAGAGACAGATCTAAAACATAATTAATGGAAAAAAGACAAAAGAGTGGAAGAAAATATCCATTCAAATTGTGACAGCTTTGTATTGTGTCAGCACACAACTGAGCTGGAACTACTTCTCTGAGAATTTCCTTTCCAAAGTAGTTTCTTTCAGTTTGGGTCAGCCACAAGAGAAATTTGCGTGTTCTTTGTAAGGTAGAAGTGAAGAGCTGTATTTATGCCCAGAAGGTTGGTATATGGTCAGGCAATGTTGCAGCTTACACACCTGACTTTGCTGTATCACCATGTTGGCATTTGACTTCCAGCTTCTCCAGCTCCCTCTGGTTCTTCTCCATCAGCTTATCCAAATTCTAGGTTAGATTTGTGGGCTCTGTAATGAAGGGTGCCAGCTTATACTGCAAGTTCTCTCTCACAGGTTGGTGAGAAATAAATGTGACTTCCAGTCTGTCCTTGTTCTTCCTCCACTTCACATCCATCTTTCCTTTCTTGTTGCCTGCCCTTTGATTTCTATCCCAACACTAGATGCAGAAGCAGCAGCCCTATACAAACTGCTTAATTAGCTCCCATAATTGCTGGTCAAATCTCTATAATCCTTATCCTTATCACTCATAGTGGTTTTGCTTCTGTGATGAAACCTTAACTGATAGAGAAATACTAATTGGAAAAGAGTTTGTGGAGTAATATTAATATTAGGAAAAAATACATAAGGCAAAAAATGAAGAGACCAGTGCATAATGATACAGGAACAGTTCTTTCAGGAGATATAACAAGCCTGAACATGCACTGAATAACATAGTCTCAAAACGTATAAAGCAAAAACTGACAGAATTTTACGGAGAAATGAACAAAACCATAGTCTTAGTTGGAGATAGTCACGTCTCTCTCTCAAAGCAGGCATAAACTTACTAAGGCCATAGAAGATTTGAACAACACAATGGCAAGATTGGTCTGTTGATAATATGTTAAACTTTGCACCCAGCAAGTAAAGAAGATAGACTTTTTCAAGCATAATTGGAACTTAATAAAAATAACAATAGCCCACAGGGCCAGTTTTAGTGAATACTGCAGAGACAGTGTCATTACAGATCATTAGTTGTATCATTATAATGAAGTAAAATTGGGAACAATGACAAAAAATAGGCAGTCTGTTCCTACCATGTGTTTAAAAAACAAACTTTCTTTTGTAAATAATTTCAGTCAAAGTAGAACACAATACTGTAAGTGGTAAGTGTAAGTGATATTTATTTTTGTTTTTATTTTCAAAGAGATGGGGGTCTCATTATGTTTTCCAGATTGGTCTCAAACTCCTGGCCTCATATAGTCCTCCTGACTCAGCCTTCCAAAGTACTGGGGTGATAGGCATGACCCACTGTGCCTGGCCAAAAGTGATATTTTAAACCAAATCATAAACACAGTTATGATTAAAGAAAAAAAAAAAAACTCAAAACGAATGCAGAGGAGAAATGTATAATACAAATAAAAATTTCTTCATTCCCCTCATTAACTTACTTTCTCCCTACCCCTTCTGCACAATGCTGAGGGACAGCCTTGTCTGTTGCTTGTTACACTATTTTCAAATCGCACAGCCTGGTATTCATGCAGTCTTATTAAACCGCCAGTCTTGTGATGGGCATAACAGAAATGGACAACACAGTGAAGAAAAAGGTCTTAAGTTTGTAAGCCTTTTATGAAATCACACTTTTCCTTGTAATTAGAAAAGTAATGGCATATGTTTACGTAGGAAACTTGGGAAATGAATTAACCTTTATAACATTTACGTTAAAAAATTGTATTATATTGTGAATTTGTTTTTGATGTGCTTTTTTTCTTTAGGAAGTTTAACAAGAATCTACAAACTGCTTAGTAACCTAATAATCCTTGCTTAAGAATATAGTGAATTGGGGATATGGAAAAGAGAGTTAACAGAAAAGTAAAAATTAAAGAAGATTTTTTAAAAATAAACGAGCTTTATTGAGATATAGTTCACATACTATGCAGTTCACCCATTTAAAGTGTATAATTCAGTGGTTTACACCATATTCACAGAGTTGTACAACCATTGCCAGCGTCTATTTTAAAACATCACTCCCCAAAGGAGGCCCTTACCCATTGCAGTCATAATCCCCATTTCACCCCAACCCTCCCCACACCTAGGCAACCACTGGTATGCTTTCTGTCTCTATGAATTTGCCTGTTTTGGACATTGGTATAAATGGAATCCTATGATATGTGATCTTTCGTTACTGACTTTTTTCAGCTACTGTAGTGTTTTCCAGGTTCATCCGTGTTATAGCATCTGTTAGTACTTCATTTCTTTAAAATTATTTTTGGTGATTATGTCCTGACACACAGTCTTATTACATGCATTTAGTTAGGAGTATATATACTTAGATTTGTTGATACGTTGTTGAGAGCAAGCAACAAAAAAAGAACCTGGCCACTTCATTTCACCTGGGGCCATCTTGCCTGAAAGCTAGTTTGCCATGTTGAAGGGCAGGCTTGCTTCAGTTTGTAAACTTTCTGTCCAGGAAAATAGAAAGTGATATAATAGGTAGGGCAAATAGTAGCTATTAGATTTCTCATGTTAATCATACATCTTTTTGTTTGTAGAAAGTCTTGTATATTCTAATGCTCCTAGTATCTGTAACTAATATCTTAAAAAAAGTTTCGAAGATTTCCAAATATTATGTCATAACATTTGATATGTGGGCTGTTAGGCTTGAGAGGTGGGGTAGATAGATTTTAGAATTAGGAAACAAGTATCCATGAGACTGGAGATATAACAGATGAAGACATTGTACCTGCACTGTGTCTCTTGGGGGTTCTGTGGTCCCTGAGCTGGTAAGGCCAAATATCAAACACCTGTTTATAGTTTCTATGGAGCTGGGCTGTTGGTAATTTGCCCATGTTGGCTTCAGACTCTTGGCCTCAAGGGATCCTCAGTAGCTGAGACTACAGGTGTGTGCCACTAGGCCTGGCAATTCCTAGAGAATCTTTTTTTTTTTTTTTTGGTTTGAGATGGAGTCTCGCTCTGTCACCCGGGCTGGAGTGCAGTCGCGCCATCTCGGCTCACTTCAAGCTCCACCTCCTGGGTTCGTGCCATTCTCCTGCCTCAGCGTCCCGAGTAGCTGGAACTACAGGCGCCTGCCACCACGGCCGGCTAATTTTTTGTATTTTTAGTAGAGACAGAGTTTCACTGTGTTAGCCAGGATGGTCTCGATCTCCTGACCTCGTGATCTGCCCGCCTAGGCCTCCCAAAGTACTGAGATTACAGGCGTGAGCCACCGGGCCTGGCCCCTAGAGAATCTTAAAAGGACAGTTGGTCAGCAGTGGGTACATAGATTGAGGACTTTCCACATGAAATACTTCTTGATGTTGACTATTTAAATAAAAATATAAATATATATACATATGTGTCTGTGTGTGTGTGTATATATATATATGCACGTACACACACACACACTCTTACAAATGAATGAATGACAGGGTCTCACTCTGTCACCCAGGCTGGAATGCAGTGATGTGATCATAGCTTCTGTAGCCTGTAACTTCTGGGCTCACATGATCCTCAGTTTAGCCTCCTGAGTAGCTGGGACTGTAGGCAAGTGCCACTATGCCTGGCTAATTTTTTAAAACAGTTTTGTAAAGATGGGACCTTACTATGTTGCCCAGGCTAGTCTTGAACTCCTGGCTTCAAGCAATTCTTCCACTGTGGCCTTCTAAAGTACTGTAATCCAGACATGAGCCACTGCACCCTGCCAATATTGACCTTAAATGGACTTTAAATTCAGTTACGGTTTAGTATGCTGAGAAGTTTGCCAAATTTATGAAGTTTGTGGAAATGTTGGTTCTGATGCTCTAATAATCTTTGAACTTTAAAAAAAAAACAAAAAACCACAACTTCCTGAAGCCATTCAGTATCGATTTTCTCAATAAATGCTTATATACATATTACTCCTTTTTTTAGTAACTTGTTTTAGTCTCATAGAAGATAAACTTTGGATTTCAGATTCATGCAAGTGTGGTTGCTGAGATTAAGAGAAACCAACAGGTGAATGTAGAGGAGATAAATTTTCGTTTGTAAAATAAAAAGAAATAGGAATAGAAAATATTTATAGCTGTCAATGGTCAGAAAGTCATAGTAAGCTAGATAGAGATTATAAGAAATACTTTAGTGCAATCATTCTGTAACACATTTGCTTTGATAGAAGATTATTATGTTAGATTCCTTAGAAACAATAACATTTTGTTTGTATTGAATATGGCCACAGTTACTTTCTTGTAGCAACTATTAAAGAAACTTAGAAACAAAAGAGCACTGCCAAAATAATAACCATTCCCTGTAGCAACAGCTTGATTAAAACTTAATGATGAATCAATAAAATTATAATTACAACCTTCTACCTTGTGTTTTCAATTTGGAATACAGTAAAATCAATCAAATAAGATTTAACATGTAACAATAGCAAGAGGGGTCTCACTTGTGCCGTTTTTATTAGGAAGATTGCTGTGCCAAATCTCTAAATCCCTACCTCAATAATTTTACAGCTCGTTTTCGTCACATACAGAAAAGGCCCTTTGGGAAGTAGAATCTGTAATTAGATCAAAGGTTGGGGCAGGTTTACTTTAACGCTACATATGCTATAACGTTCTAATGGTAATGCTTTTCTTTTCTTGAAAGGTTTGAAGATTTGACTTTTGTTGTATCTTATCCTACTTTTGTCTGTCTTCATATTGTCAGAAATGAAAAAAACGTTGAAATTTCTTCACCCTTGAAAGC